CAAACTGACATATTTCAAACCTCCAGAAGTTTACAAAAAAGGTCGCTGGCATGTGTTTTTTTAAAATTTGAGTTCAAGCCAGCCAATTTTTTGGGAAGATACGAAAGAATTCCGTCAAAGATGGCTAGTTAAAAAGTCGAACATCGTCTGGAAAAAAAGCACAAATATTTTGTCCCTTCCTTCGAAAGTCAGAACAATGATAGTTAGTAACTGTGCAATTACTTAAATAAATTTACTAACCAAGACAACAACTTAACTACTGAAGTTTTCAATGGAAGTAAAATTGTTGGCGTTGTTTGTAAATTTTTTCCAATATTTTACCACAATTCAACTGCCCGAAAACAATTTATCTTGATTATGACTGAATTCGAAAAAAATTGACTCCCTAATACAAAGAAAAAGGTTCCTAAAGGGTGACTTCCTGATTGTTGCGACTGCTTTTTATTTTCTATGGAGTCGTAACAAAATTAAATAAATCGATTAAATTTTCCAAAGAAAATCAAACGCTATTTTAATTACAAAGTGATACAAGACTGCTTGTATCGGGTAAAGCCTTGATGTTTCGACTGCCTTTTATGGTTTATGGAGCAGTAGTAACATTTAAAAATTAATTGTAAATAAAAACCAAAAATGGAAAAAAGTTTTTGTAAAATTTGAAATTGTGTTTGAAAAACATCCCCCCACACGCCATATAAAGTGCAAAAGGATAAATTTTGCTCCTTGTAACAAATCAATTGTGGCAAATAAGCTTCTTTCAACCAATATGGAACAATTTCTAAGACGGATTAACTCTCCGCTTACGCGTTACGAGCGCTAATTAAATCGCGCGTTAATGTCCCAAATTGGCCAAAATTGCAATATTTAAACCCCCGTAATTTTACGAAAAATGATTACAGGTGAAATATCTTTTCAAAATTGAGCTCAAGACAACAATACCTTTCAAATGATATAAAAAATTTTCCAATAAAAATGGCTAGTCAAAAAGTCGCAATTTGTCTGAAGAAAAACAAACCCACCCCGAGCACAAATATTCCGTTACTTTCGTATCGAAAGTCGTAACAATAGCGTAAGGTTACGTATTAATTAGAATAAATAGCTTAATTTGTTTTGGAACGATTCCTAAGATGAATTGAACTGCAGGTTATGCTTAAATAGCACGAAAATTTATGCGCGTGAATTGTACCTAATTGGCCAAATTGGCAATCTTTGATACTCTTATAACCTTATGAACATAATCACAGCTGAAATTTTTTTGGTAAACTTTAAACTTGAGCTTAGAACACCACATTGTTTGGATAGTATTCAAAAATTCGACTAAAGTGGCTAATTAAAAAGCCAAAATTGGTGAAATTGTTGACAAAAACCACGCCGCGCCGAGTTCAAACATACCGTCACTTTCTTCAAAAGTCCGAAACAAAGTTTCAAAAACAATCATTTTTGTTATATTTGTGACCTTGTTCTTATAGTTGTTAATGCGTACCTTTGGCAATTTGTCTTTCATAATGAAATCAAAACAAAAAACGTTTATTCGTGTAAATAATTTGATTCATCTCGCACTCAAAATATTTTCGAGTGAAATAAAAGACTAACCCTACTTTCTAAGCTCTAAGTGAACTTCAGTAAAATTATATCCATGAGCATGTTTTATTTGTGAAAACTATTTGTGTATGAAATATGCAATTTCTTAGAAACGCACGAAATATATTTTTTGGTAAGATAGCAGACATTTTGAATTTTGATGGACTCCAAAGTTTGTTGATTTATGTTTATAATACCTTTTAAATAAGTTTCGAAAACTAAAATGGTTATTTTTTCAACGTTATCTTGTAAAAAACGTCTTATCCCTCCCCGAAATTCGTTTGAAGGGGGATTTACGGTGGAACCGCAAATGGACACCACAGAGTGGTCTCTTGGGTAATGAATTCAGTGGGACGACCGAGATTCACTACTATCCACAATCGCGAAAGGGTTAAGTCGGTGGCAACTAATCTGCACGGTATTATTCCCTTCGTCTACTGTTTTTAGGGCTGTCTCGTTCGCTCTCACGTCAGCAAGAAGTTCCAGTTGTAATCAAATTGAGAAAAAATAACTCCAATTACAGAAGGCTCTACGTGGCCAGAATACAAACTAATAACCTAATCAAAGAAAAGGGTCTGCGGTCAATCAACACAATTGCCTAATTGCAATTTAAGTTCCAACTAACTCAACTAAACGATTATCTCTCTCTCTCTCTCTCTCTCTCTCTCTCTCTCTAGAGAAGCTTAATTAACGAATTACAAGCAGTAACACAAAATACTCAGTTCTACCTGCTAAAATTAATAGTATCTCCCAGGATCACTATTCCTTTTAGGCAGCTCAACTGATTTCTGTAACGTAACAAATCACACTTCTCAACTCTTATGAGAACAAACTATTTTCTTCAAAAGCTATCAATGTTCTCTAACTAATAATGAGAACCCAAAAACTCAGTAGTAGCTTATATTCTTTTACTAAGGGTAAGCTATCCGTCTATACCTTTTCGCTATGTTTGTCTATTTGAGTTTCAGTTATAGTTATAGTAAAGATCGTCCCTACAAGTCCTGACATTTTTTCTGGTACCCTTCTGCAGGGTCTTAGCTGAATTGTTCCTCTGTCGACACTAGTTCTATTTTCCAAGTTCATTTAGGTATCTTTAACTAAGTTGTGCAAATATCAAGTCTAATTTCACCAGTCTCAATTAACAAGTCTCCCAAATTGTTTATTTAATTTTCTCCTTAATGTTCCGACCTCGCCGGCCAGGGGAAGACCCTTTTTATGGCTAGCTAATTTTTTCCAACCATCTATAATTCCAATCTACACTCTATTCGAATCCCGACCTTCTAGCTATTAGGAGAAGGTTGTTCGCCTTAAATGGGTCAAACTGTGCCAACAAGTCACCTCCGGGGAGCTAGGTAAAAAGGTCCGTTCATATTTTTTAGGAGATCTACTTCCCATAGCATACTCCTATCACCGTAGGCATCCTCTGGGACTACTTTTATTTAGTCAGATTGAATTACTAATAGTAACTCATTCGCCAAGCTAAGCTGAACCTAATTTTCTCAAAGACCACTTTAGTCAGTTCCACTAATGCAATGTTACAATTTAAAAACTATAGCCCTTCAGCTTCTCCACCAATTTGAAGACAGGTGATCTAATCCTATTTCTTAAGGGTTGGGAGTAGGGAATACGCCAGTTTCGGGTGTTAATCTCAAGGTTTTGACCATGAACTCCTAAGAGTTAATTAAGGGTCACTCTGCGGTCACACGGGGCCAATCTTCCATACTGGGGTTCAGAATCTAAGAGCGTCCTACATACGAAGTTCCACTCATATCCCATATATACTTCTCAATTTATCCCATTTCTAAGGTCCATTATCACTTTTACCGGAAAAAGCTATTATCACCGGAAGGAGATGCCGGAAGAGTTTTACTCAGCAGGCGAATTTTTTTCGAAGATCACATCATGTGTCTATTGCCGCCTTAAAATCAATTTGTCCTCGCTCCTTATTTTGCGAAAATTGCTTATTTCCGGTCTAAGGGGTGTTTTTTCCAAGTGCTAATAACTTCCGGTTCAACAAACCGAGTTAGCTCAAATTATGATAAATGATGTCTCTTGTCACTACCTATCATATCGGAAAATTTTGGCTCCCTGCGTTCAGTGGAACCCGGGAAACGACTTCCGGAAGTCGGGGAGGGACTATTGGCTTAAGGCATAATACCGGAAGGAAGATAGGGTCCAGGGGGTCTGAGATTCCAAACTTAAGCTTCCCTCAACTAGGTTTGTAAAATACTAAGTTCTGGTCCCGTTCCAATTGCTAGATACTGAGTTCTGATTTTCACTTCCAGGAACCGTTATCACTTGAGGCAGGGAGGTTCGATAGGTCTAGATTTTGCATGCCAGGGTCAAATCATCTCTAGGATCCGTCCTGTGAGTTTCATAAGTTAGCTTCCTCAGCTTCTATTCGGGGGTTATCAAATCTTACTTCACTTCAGCTATAGGAGGGATAAATTCTTCCAAGGTTTGAGCAGTTTTCAGGTTGTTCATTTGCGTGCCTTTTTAGTTATCATATTGGTTAATCAATATCCGGCTACGTAGTACTCATTAACCTTCACTATGTTGCAGTATTTCTCAACCCGAGTCGAGATTTTTCACCTAATTTGAAGCAAGATTTGAGCGGTTTGAGCGGTTTTTTTAGACAATTACGCTAAAAATCTTGCTTCAAAATGAGCGGTTTGAGCGGTTTTTGAACGGTTTATCTAAAAAAAACCGCTCAAAAACCCCGCAATATTTGAACGGTTTTGAGCGGTTTATCTAAAAAACCGCTCAAAAAAACCGCTCAAAAAACCGCTCAAACTAATCAAGGAAACTATCCACATCAGTCTAACTTGAAAAAACAGTCCTGAACGTTGGTGGGGGGGTTTGTTGGATGTTGGATACGTTGAGGGGGTACGTTGGGGGAGGGAGTACGTTGGCGGGGGGAGGTAAGTTGGGGCGGGGGGGGGGGGGTGGGGTTGTTGACGTGAAGAGCTGGTCAAAAATGCTGTTTTTGGGCACTTTTAGGAAAATTACTACATATTGGTCACCCCTGGATGAACGTGTTCGTTCGAGTTTTGCAGAGAAGAGAAACGTTGAGTCTGGGACCTCGACCCGGGAAGACCGCTCAAAAACCGCTCAAATCTTGCTTGAAAAACCGTTCAAAAGTCACCGCAAGAAATGAGCGGTTTTTGAGCGGTTTTTTAAGCAAGATTTGAGCGGTTTGAGCGGTTTTTCCAAAAAACCGCCCAAACCGCTCAAACCGCTCCAATCTTGCTGGAAAACCGCTCAAACCTCTCAAATCTTGAGAGGTTTTTGAGCGGGATCTCGACCCGGGAAGGTGAAACTCTCAATCTAAATCTAATTTTAATGAAAGCGTGCATGTAAACCACTTATTTGTTCAAAATGTGATTGATTTTACAAGACCAAAGTATTAAGTTGTTACTTACCCAGAGATGTCTAGTATCTGTTTACTTCTCACATTTTGCTGCTGCGACGGGTTTTGACCCCGATACTCGAAGCTGACCCAGCTTGGAATTTGGAATCGGGTATCCTCGAGATCGATCTGGGATCTTCCGTTATTATCTGCGATAGTGCTGCAAGTTCCTCCTTTGCCAATAGCTGTAGTAAATCAAATGTAGATGAATTACTTGAAATATATCTAAAAAAAATTGTATACTATTTTTTTATTCAGTTTGATTTTTTCCTATAAAACCAAAAGAAAATTAATTAGTTGAGTATACAAAATTGAAAACCAATCAGCTTCTTATAAACTACTCTCAAGTTCGACCACTGGTATTGTGGATTTAAGCTCGAGTTATTACGGTTCATAAAACAGAGCAGACAACTAATACGGACACCACAACAAATGATCTTTGCCAATTTGCACCATATGGATAATTGTCTCGTATGTCAATCAGCATTTTTAGCTGGATTTGTTTAATGATATTTTTGATTTGAATCCTGACGACACGACCTTCTTCTTGAAACATTGAATCTCTATTTTACATCTGAAAAAGAAACAAGGCTGCGCGTATTCGGCCGAGGCTCTGAATGTTTCGACTGCCCTGCACTTTCTATGAATTTGTGTTCCGTTAAAAAAATGTGTTAAGAAAATAAACCCCCTACACGCTATTAAAAGTATGAAGGGATATAGTTAGCATAAAGTAACGTTTTAATTGAAACACCTAGCATGCATCTATTCGCCAGGCGAAAAAGCCGCTCCGGAGTTTATAGAACGTTGTATATTGCACGTTAATTCTCCCAAATTCGTGGACATCTTTCAAACCCTGAAAACACCCCAACACAAAAATTCCGCCAATTTGTTCAAAATGTGGATCTAAAATACAATTTATTTTTGTTTTGGAGGCGTTTCAAAGCAAATTTAGATTTTGTAGACAAACTTTTTTTGATTTTCGAAGAAAGTGACGGAGTAATTATGATTTTTTTCTCTTGACTAATTTCAAACTTTCAACCGGCCATTCTAACGAGGTTTTTTTATATGATCCAAAAACTCGGGAATCTGTTATAATCGAATTAAATCATGGGCAATCTTTACCACACATACAACGTTTCACTGTGACACGATTGATTAGAAGAAAATTGAAGGTAGTGTATCGTGTTCCGAATCCTAAAGGGTGTCCTTCATTTAGGGGTCCTCATGTAAAGCAAAATACAAGGAGAACGATCCTTAATTTTTTTGAAGGTCTGCTATCCTAGGGTTTTCTAAATGAACGTATGTTTCAACTCTTAAAATAAAAGATCCCCTCCTTAGAAGGTTCTCAAACCAAACAAAGTTTATGTTTGTCTCAAATACGTTTCAGATTTTCCCACTTTTTAATTGTAAGCAATTCCTCCACACGAGCCTTTGTTGGCTTTCTAACTTTTGAAGGTGTAAGTTATTAGCTGTGCCATTGAGGACGAGTATATTAAATTAAAATTTTGGTTGAGTATATATTGAGCAGTGTAGGTGTGTTAAAATAACATCTGAGATGATAGATCTTCGAGCAAGGTTTGGCTGCTCTTTTCAAAATTTTATTGATGTGTGTTTTGAAGTTTAACTTTTCATCTATTATTATACCTAAGTATTTATATGATCTTTTTTTAGAGAAGTTCTTCCTGTTAAATTCTAATGTGGCTGTTTCATCCTTGTTTATGGTAGGCAAAAACCAAATTTCAACATTGCTTGTATCTGGGTTTAAATGCTGCCGATTTCCTGTTTAGTTTTGTATACAATGCACAGTCATCGACAAACAGTACAGCCTTATTATGCCTACAGACGTTTGGCAAATCGTTTATATACAGCAAAAACAACAAAGGACCCAGGACTGAGCCTTGTGGTACAGCGCAGAAGATTACGTTAGTTAAAACAATCCGTTATCAGAAACTAAAACAATGTTTACTTTTTTCAAGATATCACCTCAAAAGATTAACAATTTTACATCGTAGACCGTATAGTTTGCAATTTCCATTATAATTTCGTGATCACCTGTGACGAACGCTTTTGCAAGATCTGTTAGCAAACACAGGGAGCTAAAATTATCCTATAAGTTCTGCACTATTCGTTCAGTGAGTTCTAAGATAGCATCAATTGTGCTTTCTTTGTTCGGAATCCGTACTGACATGCTGTTGATACATCTTGTTTATTCAGAAAACTTCTCAAGCAATTAATAATCAACTTTTCGAAAACTTCTTCTATAAGTGGTTGATTAGATATAGGTCTGAACTGACCACAATCTGACAATATGCCACTTTTATGAATTGGTTGAACTTCAGCAATCTTAAAAAATGAAGGATAATATGACAACTCTACACATTGATCAAGAAGGACCTCAATAGCTCATATATAACCAGACTAATTCTATGATTAGGTTGTTATTTGGGTTGTAACTATCAAAGTTTTTTATTTCAGGCTTTTATTTACTTCATAAACTGTTTGGGGTGAAATGTTTTCAAAAAAGTTGTATATTCATTCTCTAGAGCGTTTAAAAGTGTTTTGGTGTTGTATTTTTTTCGATTAGCTTCCAACCAATTTTAATCAAAAATTCGTATGTTTTTCTGCATTCAAAATGCTTTGTTTGAACTCACCTGTTCACCTTTTTTTTCTGATCCCAACTATGACTTTATACGAACTTTTATGGCTCTTGCTTTTAAGTCTATTCTCAAAGACAAATTTTTTTTTATTTTTGATACAAGATTTTCAGTTTTTATCCCGTTGTAGCTGGAATTTATCAAGATTACAATCGCTCTTGTTGTTCAAACAAATGTTGTACAGGTTATTCTTTTAAAGACTCTCAGTCATGAATTTAGCTGTTATCCAACTTTTCCATTTTTTATTGGATGGGAGCTTATGATTTAATTCCTTCCATCAGATTGGAAAGCTATTGAGAGCTGAGAAAAGCAGTCATTCAGTTCTTCAGTATCATTTTTGTACTGGTTTTTTTCAGTGGTCTGCCACAGCACAAAATTGAACTTCAGCAAAGTCCGATGGTTACCCAAAACACTTCAGATATCTCAAATTTAAAAACCTTTAATTTCAAGCGAATTTTTGTCTTCATTTTGAACTGGTGCTTCAATTTCTACCGCCTCGGGATCCAATATAGAGTTGTGTTGGACCATGACTGTTCAATAAAAATAGTTGAATGGTTGATTTTCGTTATTCTAATACTTTCAAATTCCAATAAAATTAACCCAAACAGTAGTTGGCTGATTTCAAGATTTATAGAGTCACTTCTGGACTACACATCAACATTCATGCTCCACAGACAGTGTGTATATCTCCAGGCTGCATTTTCAACTCGAACAGATAAGCCGGTAATTGATCAAGAAATTTAAAATTCTTCAATTTAAGTACTTTATTGACAATAGTTAGAAAATTCTTCTCTCCGCTGTTTTTGCATCAAACAGTCAAAATTTGCATTTCGTCTAAAGTGAGTTGTTTAATATAAAATGAAACACCTTTGCGTATGTAGGAGGCAACAGTCACACCGCATCTGTTCCGATTCACCGTTTCTAACGCAATTTGAAAATACCAACACCCATATAATCTTTCAGCCATGTTCCAGTAAGAGCAGAAATTTGCGGCTTATCAGTTTTAGTTTCCAGAAAAAACTCTAAGGTTTCATGAATTTGCGTTAAGAAGCGAATGTACCTTTTTGTAATTTCAACCAGTTTTGTTTTTCGTCGAAGTCATTTGATTAATAGGCTGCTGAGATTCGCCAATTGGTTCGGGTAATATTTTTTCCTACTTAAGTAACTTTTGTTGATAATTTGAAAATTCATTTAATTTGTTTTTTATTTTGTTCAACCATAATTGCTCAATATCGCATTTATGGGTCGTGACCTAGCTCAGACACTTGTCAATCTGGTTGCAGAACAGGAAAAAATATTTACTTTCGGACGAGCTTAATTGTTGAAAGTCGCAACTGTACTCAAAAATGCTAATTGAAAAAATCAACAAAAAAAGAAAACTAAGAAATGGGGTATCCGTCTTTTAGGAACTATGCGTCACTTGCAATTATTTTTTTATTCTTATTTTTAGAAAAACGAAAAGGAAGAAAATTTTTTAAAAAAATTAAAAGAAAAAAGACAAGGAACTTAGAAAGTAGTTGCTGAGAACCTCAACTAGTCCCAACTTTGAGCATTCTTCACCCTTTTTGCCTTTTTTCTTGATTTTTTTTTTCGTTTTTAAGACCATTCAATTGTTATTAATCCGAAGTTTAGCACCGTGTTTTTTGTATCGTGTGTTTTTAAACCGTGTTTTCGTATGTTCCTTATTTCAAACCATATGGAACAAAAAAGAAGAAGAACTCGTTCACTTCTAAGCGAACGGTTGAAATTGAATTTGTCAATGGTTAAGGAAATTTTGCCCATTGACAGTTTTTTGGTGCGCGTTACCCCCTCAAATTTTAGCATATATTGGCATCCAAGACACCTTTTGAAAATTTTAGGGTCATTCTTCCCAAAAACGATATCTCAAAATATTACGAAGGGGGACTCTTTGGGTCGTCAAGGGTCGAATCCTTGAGGAATGGGGGGACTAAATCCTCTAGTGTACACGCACCAAACAGAGAGGAAAAGTTCGACCTCGTAATGTGGAACTTGAAATTTAATTCTTCTATATAACACATAAGTAACAGCTATAGACGAAACACACGAACATCATGAAAACTCCTTTCAAAACATGTTCAAAAATGCTTTAACAATGATAATTATTGTCAAAAAATTCTTCTATCTTAAATTTTAGGCTCTATATCTCTAAAGTAGCTGCAGAGAAAATGACAACTAGCAACAAAATTATTCATTCACTTCAGAAAGCGCATTAAAGGAAATTAAAAACAAGTGCTAGGCTTGATAACCATGGGCGGATTTAAGGGGGCTCCCCCCTCAGGGATTCGACCCCCTGCCGACCCAAAGGGTCCACTTTTGATACTTTTTAAGAAATCCATTTTGGCTGACCGACTCTAAATTTTTTTTTACTTATCTCGGATCTACTTAACAATCCCCCCCTATGGTACCTACTTAAGAATCTCCACCCCTATAAATCAATACAGTAAATTACCACTGAGCTTTTTTTTGAGATTTCTAATTTTGCTGAGCTCTGATTGGTCGAAAAATCGACCATTTTGATCTACTTGACAATCTCCCCCCTTTCTTGAAAGGGGTGGAGATTGTTAAGTAGATCCCGAATCCCCCCCCCCCCTATAAAGAAAGAAATGAACAGTTAAGCATTTACGAAATTTATACCTTGTCAACTATCCCCCCCCCCTTTTGCAATATAGTTGGGGGGGGGGGGATAGTTAACAAGATCCGATATTTTGATTTGAACTTAGTAACGAATCTCCCCCTTTTGTAAAAATAGACGTAAATAGTTAAAGAGATCCAAATGATGTAAACCAGTGAATTAATTTGTGTGTTTTTCCATAATTTGACTATTTTGCCTTTGCTTGGCACTAGCTGTTAAATGTATACCTGTCTCGACACCGTCATCCAAACTCATGTCCGTCCCTGACCTAGAGGTGAATCTGGTGTCCGTCAGTTTCATAGCCACCAAACACCGGTTGAACTCAATTCTCCCCTTTTGGAAGTGTTTGTCGACGAAGCCCTTTAACAATCAAATTAACCAAACCGGTGACCGCTCGACTAGCATTAATCTCGACTAGCATAAAAATTTGAAAACATTAAAATAAATCGACTAGCAGAACTTTGATAGCTTTATTTCTCAGAATTACAAAGCGACAAATAGAATCCTTTCAAACTATGGTAAAGGATTCACAAGATTAGTTTCTGGTGTACTACGTGCTTTTCTGATAAATAGAAAAATAGGAAATTAAGCAATATCAACATAGGCAAATGAATTTCCATATCACATAAATTGTGACCCGCTGTAGAGTTTCAGGGATATTAATCGATTGTAATGGATTTCTAGCGATAAAAAATTGGACAAAATAATCGACCATAGATGACAAGACAATTTCATAACTTAAATCCATTTTAATGGATTGTATTCGTTTTTTTTTTCAATTTAAAAATAATCTATTATAATCCATTTTTTTCTATTATAATCGATTTTTTCTCAACCAAATTTCAAGAAAACTATGACAAAGTAAAGATAAATTTTGAAATACAAATGAAATGAAAAAAAATGTGTTTTTTTTCTGGCTGTTTCTTTTTGTTGTACTTCTGTTTACCCCTCTCCCCTTTCAGTTTACAGTTGAACCCCCACCCCCCAACTTCTTTACATTTGCAAATTGAACGGGGGGTGTGACTACTCAGAGTCAACTCCACCTCTTTACTCTCCCCACTCTCTCTTAATCTAACTTCTACCTATTTCCATTATTATCCATGAAAAAAGCAGTGCGGGGATTAGTCATACCCCGACTCAGAGGCGGATTTAGAGAGGGAGCGGGGGGCGTACGCTCCCCCTCCCCCTCCCCCTCAAGTACTCGACCCCTTAGTAGTAGTTGTTGGAGGTTAAGTGGGGGGGGGGAGTGAGGTCCTCGGAGACCCACATGTTTTAATCTAAGGAGTAGAACATCCAGTCTTTAGGCTATCTATTAACATAGGGTATAGATTCTACAATGTTTTAGGATAGGGAATAGAATTGGTAAAATTTCACGGTTTGTGTGATGGTAAGAGAATGGTAAGAAAAAACGTAAATTTTTTGGATTTTGTGTAGAAATGTCAAGTTTGTTTTGCAAAAAAAATTGGCGCGCGTTATCTACCTGAAAATATCACTGGTTAATTACGCGTTGTTTGTAGAATGATGGTCTTGTAATTAAATTTTTTGGTTCATGGTAAGTCAGTGGTAAAAGATTTTGGGGAAAAATTAAGATTTTTTATGGAAAAAAATGAATATTTTTTAAAATAAAAACCTTCAAAACACGTTACGACTTGATATAAATTGACATATTAAACATTTAGTAAGTTTACTGCATTATTTAACTTTTAGAAAAAAACTACACATTTGACATAAAATTATTTATAAAACTCAACACATGCACATCATGAATAATGTTCAAGTTTCTCTGGTAGAATTTAAAAAGAAGAAACGCTGAATAAATTAAAATTAAAATGGAATCCGAACAAAGTATAATTTTTAATGTAGTTTTCTGGGAACCAATCGCCAATAATTTTTTGTTGGAGAGGAATAAGTTGTTCTGTTTCGACTCAAAGAATCAGCAACATAGTAAGTTTTGTCCAACCGAGCTATCAAGATCCAGTGTTACCCTCTATCATTGCTTGGAGCTGAGTTGACGATTGCAAAAGAATATTTTGTTAGTTGAGGTACTTTATCAGAGGGGTAAGATCCTATGTACTTGAAATTGAGTTCAGGAATTCTTTCAATAATTTGCAGAAAAGAATTATTATCCACCTTTGCAATTGTTAGCTGATTTACATCTTAAAGCAAAGAAAGAGATTGTTTGATTGTGTAATTAAGAATAAAAAACTAAGATTAATGACTTACACTCAATTAGGTATTGAATCAACAAAGTACCATACAAAAACCTTATGAACTGGACAAGGGTTATTGAACACTGTTTTACAGTCTACATTGTAGTAACTTCTCGGGTTATCAATTAGACAGCAATCATTGTCTACTTTTTCTGGAGATTTAGGTCTGAAAAAAATAGATAGAAAGAGACAATAACAATTAAACTTCCCAAAAAAATTGCAGTATTTTTATAGGAACTTGAAAACTCGAAAAATTCAGTATTTGAACTTTTGATAGTCTTTCTCCCTAGACTATCACTTCGGTTACTTGCTCCAAGGAAAACTGAAATAATATTTCTAATCTCAAGCTTTCTTCATTAAATTCTGGATAATGCAACATTTCATCTGCATCCTTTAGTGAAGTCAAGTCAAAACAAAGATTATAGCAATTTTGAATTTTTTTCTTAAGAGAAGCTGGGAAATCTTCATTAAGCTGCATTGCTTTCATTGTTGTAACATAAGGGGACAAGGAGAAGTTTCATGTGAAAACAATTGCTACCTTTTCCAAATAATTCTGAACTCTGTCAAAAGGAATTCGGCAACAGCTGAATTTTGACTCATTGCAACAGCTATTCTTCTTAATGAAGCGTTAACGAAAAAATTTTCTTGATGAATTGGTCTTGACGAGGTGGAATGATAAAGGTTCTTGGTATGGTTTCCATGTTATTGTTTTGAGCAGATTGTCTTTACTAATTCCATTGCAAGTATTGATGATTAGGTTCAGCAATTCAAATTCGTCTAGTAAGCAGCGAAAAATCATTAATTTTCAGACTTACCTTTAGATTATCAGATAGCATATAAAAAATAGGTCTAGCTCGAGTTATTTCAATTGGAGCTTTGGTGTTTGGCAGCAACAATTTTTCGTACACAAATAAAAAATGTATCCCAGCTACTAAGGAGTTTGCTCTATCAGTGATTGGAAGCATATCAAATGCATCAGGAAATTCTTCGAAGCTGTATCCATGACAAGCAAATGTTCCTTTTTTACTCACTGCCCACGAGTTGAAATCGTTCGATTTTTGTGCCTTATGAGATTATAATCCATTGGCGTTGTAAACTATTGTATTTTCAAAAAATACTTCACAATTGGGGAACAGTGAATGTAGTAGATTGCTTACATAAGTTAAGTAAAGTTCTGGTTTCTCATCTGAATCATCCTCGAAATTTGCTTTATGTTCTGCTTTTTATCTTCTGAAGGCATAAAACAACCTTCCCTTGAATAATTAAAGCCTTAAACTAAAATGGGAATCACGCATATTCAAGTAGAGATTACGATCCGTTTCATATTCAAACTCAATACTGCTTTCATTTAGAGAAGTAATGAGGAATTCTTTTTCTGTAGGATGACATAATTGTTTTTCGAAACTGGGATTTTATCAAAAACCTCCTACGAAAAGTTTGTAAAAGTTCGGTTCTGAAAAAGACTACTTTGGTTTATACTCATTTCATATTGTCAAAAATGCCTTTGCGAGAGCAACTGGTTTTTTCAATTTACTTTTTCAAAAAATGAATATAGTTCTACTAATTCTACGCATAGATTTTTTTCTCTGACTCCCAATTGCTTCGGAACTGTTTTTGTTTCCACATTTTTTGTAAAGGGTTTGAGTTTTTTGCGTCCACTAACAACTTCTCCAACCTCTGGAGCACCAATTTCAAACAAATTTGCTCCAATTCATTTTGAAGCTGGGACTATATATATTTTAATAAAGGGATTGCAGTTCTCCCAAGAGTTTGCGCAAGAGCACCGAAGCTTCTTCCACGTTTTCTTGCATGTCATCGAAAAATGGGGAAATCAGCTGAAGTTTCATCAAGCATTTCGTATGAAATATTAATCAGAAATGATTACTCGAAATCTTGCGGAACAAGAGAACACCTCGTGTAATTTCTATGGACACAAAAGGAATTTTTTCGCCTCTGCTATCTCTTAGTTCTATCTTGATACTATAGAATGAATTTTTAACAGTTTTTCAAATTGTAAATTTGTAAAGGACTGATAGTTGAACGACTGTCCTTTAGAATTTATATGTCCACTTTTTACTTTGGAGATGAAAGGAAAATAACGCAAAAAAGGCGTTTTTGTATCACCGACTATTTTATATTCTATATTATCACTACATATTATCAAGTAACGTGTTCATACAATGTCGTAAGAATACTGAGGATAATGCGGTCTTTTTGCACTACTTACAACCCCCTGTGTTTTTCTAAGTCACAACCAAAAATGTGACACAAATCAGAACTTTGAATAATAAACACTGATTGATCCTCAGGTAACTGAACGGCAATATCTTGAGTAATTTTATCTACTGATACATATATTCCGTTAGATTCAAATGCTTGAGCACCTAAAGGTACTAGAGTTTTGTTGTTAATGACTACAACTATATCAACAATACTTGAATACAATCCGGGTTCAATATGCATTGGTTCAATCTTTCTTTTCTCCTTTCTAAACTTTCTCTCAGTAACATTTTCTTACAAAGAGGGGTATGATTTTTCTCAAATAGTAATCTCCTATTCTTCTTTTAAATTTAATTGTTCGGGTAGAAAAATAAAGCAAACTTAGACTGTTATACAGATAACAACTAAAAAAACCGTTGGAAACTTGCTCAACAGTCAAAGAATCCACGACAACTAATCGAGAGAAAATTAGTTTAAAAAATGTTTTTGTTTCAGTCTGAACTTTTTCTCAATTTCTCAGCCCTTCTTTCATAAAATTTTCTCAGAGTTTCTTCTTTGTTGAGATCAATGATGATGTATGTCGGAGGCTTTTTTGTAGATATTGTCGAAATTTCAAAAATTTTGTCTGTAAGTTATGGCTTATATCCTTTTCGGAAAGGAATATCATTCTTTGAAAATCTCAATCGATCTCCAACTTCGAATTATGATTTCTTATACCTTGTTAAAGGTTCATTGTACAAAATTTAGAGGTGATTTCCCAAGAGACCTATTAACGCGACAATTCATTGTAGACACAAACTGAGATAACTTATAAACGATGTGTCGGTTACAATGTTTACAATGAAGCGGTAAACAATGTGTTCTAATGATTAAAAATCTCTCTTTGAAATTGCAGTTTTAGTTTGACTCATTTATGAGTAAACTTCAATG